TAAGTTCCAATATCAAAAATCAAATATAATTAACATTTTCCTGTGCACACATAATTTAATCTAACTAGTTGAATAAATGTGAAGTAATATAATAGACTTTAATTTAGGTAAATTGTTGGCTCGAAATCAAATATGAGTGTGCCTCAGATAGATTATTTCAGTCAAGTGAATCGCGCCCTAATGCTGATTTCTTTCGTTTGTCGAAAAAGAAAATTACATAAATAACGCTCGAAAAAAATAAAAAAAAATAAAATAATACAAATAATGCCCATATCACATAGAGGGCATTATGCAATGCGGGCCTTAACGGCGCATAGTCCAATTAAATTGGCAAGAGCTGCAAATTGAACTGGGGCTCGGTTTGGGCCCAACTGGGTCAGGCCCCTGATGACCATCAAAAGCGATTTATAAAACGGCCAAAATCTGCGCAATTTGGCGCGTCACTAATGACAACTAAGTATTTTTTGCTGCGATTTGTGCAAGTTATGTTTAATTATTGTTGCCCAGCATCGAGATCTTCGGCGAAATTGTCTATTGGCCCCATAACAATGGATATGCTAATTCACATATGACTTCCGGCGAGTTGGGCAGCGTGTCTGTGTCTGCGTCTGTATTGCCTGGCGCTAAGCCCCATGATGACGCAGGCATTTGCGTGCGGAGAGTGTGAGTCTGCGCCGACTGAAGATATTGTCTCAAGGTTGTTCAAAAGAAAACAGGTAAGTCTTACGGCTGATTGACGGCCGAATACCCTGTAGTCAGCTGGGTAATACACCGAAAGATAAATGAATGGTAGCTAAAAAGTTATATATTACAGATGTGCTAAGAAAAAGATTTGCATATCGAAAAATATAGATTTTCCTAGAAAAGAATAGGTATAGATCTGGCTTAATTACCTGTAAAAAAGCTTGGTGTGTATTTCTCCATTCACGTTGGGAGACGACCAAAGCATCTATCCTAGATATCGATATTTATCGATTTTTGGGCAATATAGAAATATAATTGATCTGATTTTAAGACAATCTAAATTCCAAGCTTTAAGCTTCTGAAAATTCAAAATGTATAAATATAAATACGAAAAACCAAATGACACTTTAAAATGCGATACTTTTGAAAGACTTCGAGGTTTGATTAAAGCGAGCGAGTTCGCGATATTGGGAATAGTTGCAATGAAATTGATTTAAATAATTTGATTAATGAAACTAAAGACAAACAAAACCTAAATACGACACGACTGTTTTTGCAGATCATCGTAAAGTAGATGCCTCCTTCTAACTGTGACAAACATTTGCAAAAAAACCATATAGCCCTTTTCAGTATTTACAGGGTATTTGAAAAGCGGCTTTGCTGTCGCTTGTGAGATCTATTGGCCCTCGCACTACGCGCGTTTTGTTGTGGTTTCTGTTTCAGTTTCAGTTTCATTTGAACTTTACGTCGCCTCTCATCATCATCATCATCTCCATCTCCATCTCCAGCTCCATCTCCAGCTGCTGCTGCAGCATCACGACAGAGATTCGCGTCGGCGTCTTATAAGTGACAGTCGGCGACTGATTAGCATTTAGTTGGTTTCTGTTTGCCAAGCGACCCGGTGCTCAGTCTTAAGTCGGCCATCAAATCGAACGGAAATGCGCGTGTTTATTGTAAGCTCTTTTTTGCATTGGAATCTTGTCAAGCATTTGTCTAATGGATCGTGCTCTCCTAGGTTACGTGCCTGCTGGGCCTGTCATTGGCAGCGCCACAAGGATACAATTACCAGGCGGGGGAAATCTGCACTTGCCCGGCATACCCAGCATACCCGGCTTATCCGGCTTAGTCGGGCTGCAACAGCAGGCGGCCAGTGTGGATGAGCAGCGTCTCGTGCAGCAGGCGCTGCAGGCACCCAAGGTGCAGCAGATCTTCCAGCAACAGCCACAGCAGCAGCAGCAGATCTTCCAGCAACAGCCACAGCAACAGCAGCAGATCTTCCAACAGCAGGGCTCCAGCTTTGGTTACAATCAACAGCCGCAGTCCTACAGTCCCGTCGTCTCCAAGGACATCTATGTCCACGTGCCGCCCGCCGAGGAGCCAGAGGAGCGCTATCCACAGCCCGTGCTGCCCGTGGGCCCACCACGCAAACATTATCGCATTGTGTTCATTAAGGCGCCGACGCCCAGCGTGAGCAAGGCGGCCGTCCGGGTGCAGCAGGCGCCCGTCGAGGAGAAGACCATCATCTATGTGCTGACCAAGAAGCCCGATCCGCTCGAGCTGCAAACGGCTATCGAGGAGGCGGCACCGAAGCCCATCAGCAAACCGGAGGTGTTCTTTATCAAATACAAAACGCAGGAGGAAGCGGCGCATGCGCAGCGCACCATACAAGGTAAATTCCAAAACAAAAGCCACGGAAGACAAACTTTGCATACGGCCAAGACCTTGCGAGTCGCTTTTATGGCCAACAGAATTGAAGAGGAGGCTAACCTCTATTGCCGGGTTTTTTTTTGTTTTTTGCTTATCCATTTGGTCTTCTTTGCAGCTCAATACGATCAGCTGGGCGGCACCACGCAGGTCTCCGACGAGGGCGTGGCACCGGTCACATCGGTTATCGGTGCTCTGGATAATCAGGTGGGCACAGGTGCAGGGATTGGTAGCACGGCAGGCCTCACGGGCGCTGTGCCCAGCAAATATTTGCCCGCCCATTTGCGTGCGTGATGATGAGAATTGACTGAGAACTCAAGAATTGTTGTTATTGTTGTAGCCATAGGTAAAAAAAAAAAAACAAACAAATTGTCTAACTATATATTATATTAAATATATCTAGCTGAATACACATTTTCGTTTTTCTGCTGCCCCCCGACTCCGCAGCGACCTTCAAGCGCATCTTTCACAATTTTTACTTGACAAAGGCGATCACGAAAACAAAAATCAAAGACAAAAAAAAATAATATAGTTTTATGCCTCTGCGCATTGCCACATTGATTAGCCGGGCTGGGAAAACCGGTCGCATCGATTAGCATTTGATTTGCCTTGCATAATCCCAAAATCTACATAATGATCGTGCAGAGCAATATCTTGAGTCACTAAGTGGTTGCTCACACTTTTCAGGGCCTATAATTTATACTGGCATAAGCCCTCATTAGATATTATAGAAGATATTATCCAAGAAATTACCCAAGCTCGGTTCAAATGCAGCAGGTTGTGTAATTTTGTGTCAAATAATTTAAACATGCTTTTGTTTTTGTGAATAATCATAATCAGTTAAATAGATAATAAATAGATATTAATTAGATAAATAAATTATTGGAATTTTAAGCCTTTTCTATATTTGAACCAGCGACTTCACAACAGATATTCTGACGGTTAGACTTCGTGTTGCTGTTGATGTTTGTTAGACAATAAATAAGCTTTTATAATTATGAAAATTAATAAATTAAATAAACAACTATAGGAATTCCACACTGTTTCTAGATTTGAACCAGCAACTTTGCACTTGACAGTCCGACGCTAGACTTCTAGTTTCTGTTGATGGCACTTAGACAAAATTAAACCAACGCGCTTCCAATCGGAGATCACGTTGCTCAAAAATCCCATCTTAGTGCTCATTGCTTATTGCAAACTGATTCTATATTTGAACCGGCGACCTCCCACTTGATAGTTCTACGCTCATCTAGGCTATGCATGCGTCGCAAAATTTAAATTGTTTGCGATTCTGTTGATGTTTAAGCCAATGCATTCTTCTAATCGAAGATCACGTTTCCCTAAAATTTCATCTTAGCGCTCACTGATAATCAAGCATTCAGTCAAGGATCAATCATGCGACAAGGATGACTGCGACGAACCCAGCTTCGATTTTAAATTCCACACTAGGACTCATAAAAGTAAAAAGTCAGGTTCATGAACCAAACCTAAGGTAAGACGTTAGCCATTCCCCACCAAAAATATATTTAAATTTGCGGCCCTGTTTTTATCAAGGTCTAGCCTAATTAAGCGACTGCTCAGCTTGCAGTTTCCTATTAAGACATAGATAAGTATCCTCAGCGAACTCATCCAAAAAAGGTGTTAATTAAGCAATTAAGCTTTTGAATAAATGATCTTTTCAGGTTTTACAATTATGGTTAATAATCATTAGGTTCATTTAATTAACGCACAAGATGTAACGACCGATCAAGGTCTGCATAGGCCAGACAGTTTCTCTGATTGAAATATAAACTAATCAACTACTTGTGCTATTAATTAGGACTCCAACTAGCTGAAGGCGAGATGAATAGCTGTTGGATATTTTACTCTCAAGAGTTATCTGTAGCTATTCTGGGGACCCACTCCTTCAACCAATTGAACTAAAGAGGGAGAGAAAAATATTGGGAAAGAGTCAGAATATATAATATAATATAATATAATATATATAATAAGAGACAGACAGACAGGAGAGAAAAGAAAGAGATAGAGAGTGAGAGAGAGAGACCTTAAACAGGGAGAGAGTTGGGTGAAAATATAGGGAAATAGGGAGGTAGAAAAGGAGAGATAGAGAGAGAGGGCAGGTGGGAGAGAGAAAATGAAGGAAAAAGAGTAAGAGAAAGAGAGAGAGAGAGAGAGAGAGAGAGAGAGAGAGAGTGAGGAGAGAAAGAGGGAAGGAGACTGAGAGAGAATGAAAGATACAGAGTGAGAAAGAGAAAGAGTGAGAGTGAGTGTGAAAGAGATAGAGACAGAGGAAGAAAAAAAGAGGATAAGAAAGGGGAAGAGTGAGAGAGAATGAGGGTGATATATATGTAAATATATATATTTTCGAGCAGTTGAAAATGTATATCCATATATATATATCCAATTTCCAATTCATCCAATTTTTGACACATAAAAGGTTTTTTTTAGATATATAAAATACTGTGTAGACTGTAAGAGAGGGAAAAAGATAGGAAAAGAGACAAAAAAAAATAAATCCTATCCAAATACAATTCTTTTAACTATAAAACTTAAAAATATTTATGCCTGGTTAAGATATTGGATATATTTATTTTGATTTGATTATTGATTTGACAATAAATTAAAATAAACTAAAATGCGGCGATTGTTGGAATTGAATGAAAGAAATGCGGTGGAAATTCGCCTTATTTTGTCTTGGCTGGAATGTAGCGCTTGGAGGGGACATTGACGCCAAAGTTGGCGCCGGAAGAGACGGAGGAGGTCTGCAGACCGGAGCTCTGGAAGCCGCCGGAGCTCTGGAAGCCGCCGCTCTGGAAGTTGCCGCTCTGGTAGTTGCCGCTCTGGAAGTTCTGCTGCTGGATGCCCACGCTCTGGGCCTGGGACTGGGCCTGCTGCTGGATGTGCTGCGGCACAATGTTGCCCAGGTTGAGAGAGCCGGAGCCGGAGAAGCTGCTAATAGGCGCGACACCCTCGTCCGAGATGTGTGTGGCACCGCCCAGAGCATCGTACTGGGCCTGGATCTCCTGCTGGGCGCGCTGTGCCTCCTCCGTGGTCTTGTACTTGATGAAGTAGACCTCGGGCTTGTGCACCTTCGGTTCGTTCTGGGTCAGCTGCAGGTGCTGGTGAATCTCGTTGATGTCGGGCTTCTTAGACAGCACATAGATGACAGTCTTCTCCTCGTTGCTGGCCTGGGCGCGCTTCAGCGCGGCAGCGGTGTGCTTCAGATTCTGTGTGGGCGCCTTGATGAACACAATGCGATAGTTCTTGCGAATGGGCGTGTTATCCAACTGAGGCGCCGACTGCAGCTCCTCGGTGTCATCGGGCGCCGAGTGTATGTAAATATCCTTGGTCACGATCGAGGGACGCTGCGCCTGATACTGTGACTGCACGAACTGCTGCTGGATCTGGGGCTGCGACTGAATCTGGGGCACAAACTGCTGCTGGGGCGGAGAAGGCACGAATTGCTGCTGAATCTGGGGCTGCGGCTGCTGATAGACAACCTGCTGGGCCTGCGGCAGAGGCTGTGGCAACGGTGCCTCCACAACATTATTGAAGACGGGCTGCTGGGCGGGCACATTGTATATTCCACTTGCCGAGAGCGGCGTCTGCGGACGCAGATTGCCCGCCTGAAGAGCTGGCTGCTGATACTTGTAGCCCTGCGGAGCTGCGGCGACGAGCACCACGCACGACAAGCACTGCGAATATGAAGGAGTTCAGCTTGAAGTGAGGCACAAACAAATTAGACCCTGCGACTTACCACTAGAAGGGAGAATTGTTGCATTTTTGCTTTTGAGCCTGGCGGACTGTGAACTTCTACTTCAACTGACCCGAGCAGATTGAACTCAACTGATGCCCCAATCGAGCGCTGGCAATGTTTTTATAAGAGCTCCGAATATGTGGCTGCGTTTCCCTACCCAAAAGAAATTTGGGTATAAAATTATCGAATCTATTGTCCCAGCTGCCCAGCGCCGGACAGCCTAGCCATGTGGTTGGCAAATCACGGAACCATATTCGGAAATATTCAGATTAGAGATGCATCTCAGTTGGACCGTTATATAACCCGGGCTAGCCAAGCGACTCGGTATTCAAATTAGTATAATCTCATAATATTTCAACGCCAATGCGGAATTAATGCGAAATATTATTGGTAAATGCGACAAATATCGAAAGAAAGTCATTTCTTATGCATATGCAGCTGGCCAAGACCCAAAACGTTAACTGATCGCCAAATTAGTTGGCTCGTTGAGTTGTGCGGAGCAGATGCCCTGCTCAGCCGGTTGCGTCTGCCAAATGTGCATAAATTAATTCAAGTCAAAGTGATATATAATAAAAATACAAAAAAAAAAACATGTAAACAAATGTTTGTTGCCAAAGAAAGCAGTTTATGGTTTCATGTCTGGCTCGTCCACAATTTTAAATTCGAGCTTTACACAATTTGAAGCGTCGTTAGCTTTCGAAACATAATAAAAACCCAGCAAGAGCCCCATTCATTGTCTTTGCCGACCGACATTATGCTAATTATTCTACCAGCTATTTGATAGAAGAGGCCCACAGTTAAAGCTCGTGTAATAATTGTTTACAATTTGTCTATAAATATTGTGTATCGTATATCACGCATACGGCAGGTAAAACAATTGAAGCAGAAGATTTGCAAGCAATTTAAGCCTAATCTGCATTTTTATAAAATATCAAGTGGCAGGCTCTAGACGGAAGTTACCGACTATGTGATACCCTAAGCCCTCCTCCAGCTCATTTGCTTTGGCAATAATAAAAAAAAATTCACAATAAATAAAAAATATAAAATAAAAATCAAATTACTTCCCTCAATAAGAATCGAACCCGTAACAGAGCGCACTAGCAGCCAGCGCCTCTACTCGACTGCCATATCAACAACTTATCCAAATTGAAATAAAACCGTATTAAAATAGCAATAGCAAATACAATCGCAATTGCAGTGCTATTCATAGAATTCAATAAAGACGAAACGTGTCGTTGTAAACACAACTTTACTTAATAACTTCTGTCTTTCTTAACTGATCTTGATGAAATTTTTCAACAGTAGATCTTATAGAATATTCATACATTCTTCAAAGGTCAATTACATTCAACTTGTGTGTTTAGCTCGTTGAGGATTTCAAAATCGAGGATTTCAAAATCGATTCTAATAGATTGCTTGAAAACGGGGTAAGTTATCAATTATCGAAAACAAACTTGCACTGTGCGGGCAGTAGGTAAGACGGAATGACAGACGTATATGGGTAGATCGACTGGGCTATTGATGCTGATCAAGAGTATATATACCTTATGGGGTCGGAGATACTTTCGTCTGCCTGTTACAAAAATTGGCACAAAAGCAATATACCTTTACACGCATATTTAATGGCTTATTAATATACTTTGTTAATGATTTGTGTTAATAAATATAGTATAAAACCTTTTTGAATTTAACGCATCTCTAATTCGATTAAGATCGATATTAATTGTGGCAACACTGTCACGTCTCTGCCTGTTAACTTTTTTGACTTAAACTTATTTTTTATACTAGAGCAACACTGTCCAGAGTTACGCTCAAAAAAGTCACTTTGCTCAACTTATTTTGCCCAATTAGCATGTTGCCACACTTATGACAGTCGCATTAAAAATATTTGGTCCGGCTTAAAGTATCAGCAACTCACTTAAAAGTAATTATTATTTTTTTTTATCAAAGAGCAACATTTTAGGATTTGTGTATAAATGACTTAACTCGCTACATCAATTGTTGACTAATTGAAATCACTTTAATTAAATAAGTAAATATAAATATATTGTCTTGTACGAAAGGCTACACTTGTTACAGTCGCGTTCAAAATTGTTGACCAGCTCGACTGGACAAAATCAAGTTTATCTTTTTTCAAGATAGCCACATTTCTTACAGTCGCGTTCAAAATTGTCGACCTGGTACTCATAAATTTCTGCCAGTCATATTTAGTCATATTGCTTACAGTTGCGTTCAAAATAGTAGGCTCAGCAACTGAAGCTTTTTAATTAAATCAAATAAATATTGCAATGTGATAAAGCAACAGTCGCGTCGAAAATAGTCGGCCTGCCTCTAAAAGTCGACACAATTTACTATTTTGCCCAGCGGCAAACGTTTTCAAATCGAATCGAATTAGGGAAAAACTAAATTATATTTTTTTAACAGTATATACTAGCTATAATGAGCATTTACTTATATCTAAAACCTACGGCTGGGTGGCAAATACGCGCTATTTGATGGTGCCTCGCCTGTGGCTGCAGCTCCAACTGGGCTGTTCTTTGTGGCAAAGTCCAAGACTGGCGCCGAGGAGCCGGCATTGTGATTGGTCGAACGGCCGGGCAGCGAATCGTATTGGGCCTGGATGATGCGCTGTGCATTCTCTGCATCGTTCTGTGTGCGATATTTGACGAAGTGAACCTCCGGCTTGTTGTTCGTCTGCAGCTTGACCTGGTTCAGTCTGTTGGCCAGCTCGCCGATATCGGCCTGCTTGTTCAGCACATAGATGGCAGTGCGATCGTCCGAGGCGGACGAGGCCAGCTGCAGTGCCGCCTGCTCCAGGCCCGTGTTCTCCGGTCCCTTGATGAAGAGCACGCGCAGATTCTTGCGCAAGCTATTGGCAATCTGCTCGTTAACTGGTCCATTGTCGAACTCCTGCTCCGGCGCGCTGTACGTGTAGAACTCCTTGTTGAACTCATTGGCAATGAGTATGGGCTCCGACAGCTGGGCGGCGCCGACATCGGGACTGCCGATCAAACCGCCACGCCCATCCCCGGCATGGGACTGGGGCGTATAATCATACTGACCCCGGGCGACGGCAATCAGGCAAAGCATCTGCAAATAAGGCAGGATTTAATTTAATTTCTGGCTAGGATTAGGCTCCGGCACTTACCATAAAAGCGCGCATTGTTGTGCTTGGGCTTGAGTTTTCCACACCGTAGGCTATTTCTTGGCTCTGAGTGTGCTGTGCAGCTGCTGGGCTGTGTCTGTGTGTCCGCCAATTGCAACTCCGCCCGATATTTATATGGAGATCCGGCTGCATCCCAAAGATGCAACAGCATGCAAATGCGCTGCTGCATTGGGCAACAAATATCAGCCACGGTGCTTCAATTAAAATGCCAAACGTTTTTTAATTGGAACATATAGCTTCAAAAATGAAGAAAAAAGCACACACATCAGATTTGGTGAGCCGGAAAATGTGTAAATGTATTCAAATTACGGCTGGGTGTCCAATTTGGCCACCAGATTTGTGGGTTTGCCCAAAACTGGGGCCCAGCTGGAATGTCAAGTTGTGTTGGCAATGCATTTTTTTCGGGAATCATCTAAGACGCGACTGTCGGCAGACGGCTTATTAAAATAAGTATTATATATAAAATTTACATTTTTGGAATTTTACCAAAATTGCCAAACACCGAAAACATAGCCACAAATATTGCGCATACTTGCATAAGTTAATATATTAATATATTTTATGAAATATTAAATAATTAAAAGTAAATTTTTAGCATATTACCTTAAAGAATTCCAAAAATTAATATTTAATGTTTTCCGCTTATATGAAATTTATTTTCGCAAGCAGCCCGAAAATATGCAACACTTTTTGACAACAAAATTTCTCGACACCTATTTTAACCTATGAGTATAAAGGATATTTGAGATGTTCGGGCAACGTTTTCACAAGAATTTTGACCAAGAATAATGTTGCCTGTATTAGATGAAAAACTATGTACAAAAAACAAAACCACGTGAAAATCTGATGAGATTTGAACGAGTTATTGGGATGGAAACTTTTGACCTATGTGGGCAATTTTGACGTATGGCTATGTACGATACTTGCGAATACAATTTTTACATGAGTTTTGACCAAGATTAATGTGCCCAGACCAAGCCATGAACAAAAACCTTATGAATATCTGTTGGTTTTTGACAGAGTTATGGGGTTGGGAAATTTTGACCTATGTCTATATAGGATATTTAAGATTGAAGTTTACATTTCCACTCGAATGTTGACCAGGAATTATGTTGCCAGATTTAGTTGCCAAATTGAGCTAGAGAACAGAAGAGTGGGAGTTCGAACTTTTAATATTTTTGTACAACATATTATTGCGACTATGACATCATATTATAATCGGAGCATTAAGCTCGATTTTAAACGCAGCTAATTAAATTGGCAAGCACTAAAAATAAAAACTTAGTTTCCCATGAAAATAGAGTAAAACACGCTGAAGAAATACAAATAAAATAAAATAAAATAAAGAAATCAGCATGAAAGTGAGCTTGGGATTGATTTATTGATATATGGCAGCTAACTAAGCATATCAGTGACTAGTTGAAATTTTTTTTTTTTAATACCATAGCCCACATTCTATTTTAATTTACATGCTAACAAAACCAGTTCGATGGTTTCGCTTTCACACAAAGCAAAATCGAATTCGTTTCAACGAAAAAAAAAAAAAACACGCCAATTTGTAGTCTTATGAATAATTAAGCTCATCGCAAGAAATCTGTGCCGGCAAGTCAGAATGCTCGACCGGCAGATACCCTATCTGCAGCACCGCACTGAAGGGAGGGAAGATCGTATTCGGTTAGTAATATATTATTACATGCCGAAAAATAATCGATAAGCTCGATACTTATCGATATGACATACGAACGTATATTGCTACAAAAATATAATAATATATATCTCTGGCAATGTTTTTGATAGGGCTGGAAATGGAGGAAGAAAACAGAAAATATGCTTGACAAACTTAAGCTGATAATCGATATTTATCGAGTCAAACAATATTGTGATATATGTTACATGCATTCCGACAAAAACATAATACTCTGCTCGTAAGCAATCTCAATAAGTACAGGGTATACTGAGAGCCCGCTTTGCGATTACTGGAAAATCAGGGCTCAATACTGTCTGATCGTTTGTCTGACAATCGAGCCGTGGATATTATGTTAAACAAATGAGTTTCCAAAACTCGTTTCGTTATCGTTTCAAGTTGTTCAAGTTCGTATTGTTGCAAATTATAATTTGATTATGAACACAATGATAAGTTTTGAGCCCCAAAAAAAATGATATTATTATTTAAGTTTTATTAACGTTTTTTTTTTTCGGACTATAAAAGCGCCTGCGGCGGCAAGCGCGCGTTTTAGTTTTGCTTTAAGAACTGAACAAAAATGAAGACTATTTGCGTAAGTGCCCAGATGTGACATATAATAAAAGATATATAGAGAATGATATATGGTTTTCCATGTCAGCTACTTTTGCTGTTCGCCCTGTTGGCCCTCGTCTATGCCGCACCCGCGCCCGCGCCCACGCCTGACAATGAGCCCACCGTCAACGTGCTGAGATACCGTAATGACCAGGAACTGGAGCAGATCCAGCGTTCGATAATTGCGCAATACGAGGCACAATTGGGGGGCAGCACACAGGTTCATGCACCGCGCACTGCGACGCTCGTCAATCCCCAGACACTGGGCATCCACATTTAAATGACCAAAAAAAATGTTAATAAATAACAAATTGTTGTGACAATTTCTTCGACCATTTCAATATGCTGATAAGGGTGATAAGCCGCCGGCTAGGCTCGCCGGAGCTGATCTCGTCGCCGCTTTAGTCTCGCTTCTCTGCTCCGACTGTGCGCAATTCAGCCCGAAAAACAAAATTTAAGAAATCCGAATTTATAAATACAAAAAAAAAAATGCGCTGCTTTTTGGCTCTGCTCACGGCTGCGCTCAGCTGCTTGGCTTTGGGCCAGCGTTTGCCCATGAATCAGCCGATGTTCTTTCCCCGGGAGCAGGACATTGTTTTTCCGGGCACCAAACAGTTCGATACACTGTACAAAATAAGCGATTTTCAGCTTGTGGGCAGACCCGACAATAGCCTGGAGCTGCCGGAGCCGCCCGCCCGCCAGCTAAATCCGCATGCCTATCGGCCGGGTCAACCCTTTCCGCCGCCGCCAAATGGTCGTCGGCACAAGAAGCGCAAAAACAGGCCGCGGCGCCTCTGCGAGCGAAGTGAGTCCTCGTTTATTTATTAATCACTCAGCAGCTAAATACCCTATATTCTGTCAAAGAGTACTCCGAGTATGTGGAGCGCATATTTCCCAACGATACGGCCGTAACGGAAGACGCCAACGATGAAGATTTCGATGGACGCGTACTCGCTCGGCCTGGTGAATACCCTCACATGGTAAGAAGGCAGCTTAGCTGATAAGAAAATATTTTGGTGAATACACTCCGGGAAAATTGAGAAGCATTTTGCAAACTTCTTAAGCTGAGAAATTTGTATATCTGTTCAGACCCATTTCTGTTTAATCTGAAACTAACAGATGCGTTCCTTGAATCTAGGAAATTTTGAACAATGCGTGTTTGAATCAAGAAACCAAAAACGTTTTACTTAAAATAAGCAGAGGCTTTAACAAAATGAAACAAAAGTACTATTTCAAGAGCTGAAATAAGCTTCATATTCAAAGATTTTTTTGAAGCTCCAAATTCTTGAATACTAGACCTAAGTTGAGAACTCACTTAAAGCTTATTATAAGCATACAAAACTATAAAAAAGTATTTTAAGCTTAATCCAAGCTTTAGTTCTAAGATTGACGCTCAAATTAGAGTTCATCATTAAGAAGTTCTTAACTTAGGTATACACAAAAATAATCAAACAAAAACCTGAATTTTTTAATTTGAAATGCAAATACATTTTCTCTGAGTGTAGCTTTTATAAGACGAACAATAACAAGAACCCGGTCAATTAAATTTTATAGGCAGCGCTCGGCTTCGCGACGAACTCCGAAAAAATTGACTACAAATGCGGCGGCAGTTTGATAAGTGAGAACTTTGTATTGACTGTGGCCCATTGCACCGAGGTGGAGGGGTGAGTTGGGAACGAGCGTCGGGTCGAGGGTTCTCTCTGATTGCCTGTGGACCATTTAACATTTTGTAGCGCCGCGCCGAAATGGGTGCGAATCGGCGGACTGAATCTGTTGATCGATGAGGCGCGGGTTAAGCCGCAGAACTTTGGAATTGAAAGCATATCCAAGCATCCCGATTACAAAGTGGACTCTTACTACAATGATATCGCACTTTTAAAACTGGAGAGAGATGTGATGTAAGTATAGACGGGTTAAAATTTAGAAGTAAAAGTAGAAGTAGAAGCAGAAGTAGAACTAGCAGTAGAAGTAGAAGTAGAAGTAGAAGTAGAAGTAGAAGTAGAAGTAGAAGTAGAAGTAGAAGTAGAAGTAGAAGTAGAAGTAAGTAGAAGTAGAAGTAGAAGTAGAAGTAGAAGTAGAAGTAGAAGTAGAAGTAGAAGTAGAAGTAGAAGTAGAAGTAGAAGTAGAAGTAGAAGTAGAAGTAGAAGTAGAAGTAGAAGTAGAAGTAGAAGTAGAAGTAGAAGTAGAAGTAGAAGTAGAAGTAGAAGTAGAAGTAGAAGTAGAAGTAGAAGTAGAAGTAGAAGTAGAAGTAGAAGTAGAAGTAGAAGTAGAAGTAGAAGTAGAAGTAGAAGTAGAAGTAGAAGTAGAAGTAGAAGTAGAAGTAGAAGTAGAAGTAGAAGTAGAAGTAGAAGTAGAATAGAAGTAGAAGTAGAAGTAGAAGTAGAAGTAGAAGTAGAAGTAGAAGTAGAAGTAGAAGTAGAAGTAGAAGTAGAAGTAGAAGTAGAAGTAGAAGTAGAAGTAGAAGTAGAAGTAGAAGTAGAAGTAGAAGTAAGTAGAAGTAGAAGTAGAAGTAGAAGTAGAAGTAGAAGTAGAAGTAGAAGTAGAAGTAGAAGTAGAAGTAGAAGTAGAAGTAGAAGTAGAAGTAGAAGTAGAAGTAGAAGTAGAAGTAGAAGTAGAAGTAGAAGTAGAAGTAGAAGTAGAAGTAGAAGTAGAAGTAGAAGTAGAAGTAGAAGTAGAAGAAGAGTAGAAGTAGAAGTAGAAGTAGAAGTAGAAGTAGAAGTAGAAGTAGAAGTAGAAGTAGAAGTAGAAGTAGAAGTAGAAGTAGAAGTAGAAGTAGAAGTAGAAGTAGAAGTAGAAGTAAAGTAGAAGTAGAAGTAGAAGTAGAAGTAGAAGTAGAAGTAGAAGTAGAAGTAGAAGTAGAAGTAGAAGTAGAAGTAGAAGTAGAAGTAGAAGTAGAAGTAGAAGTAGAAGTAGAAGTAGAAGTAGAAGTAGAAGTAGAAGTAGAAGTAGAAGTAGAAGTAGAAGTAGAGTAGAAGTAGAAGTAGAAGTAGAAGTAGAAGTAGAAGTAGAAGTAGAAGTAGAAGTAGAAGTAGAAGTAGAAGTAGAAGTAGAAGTAGAAGTAGAAGTAGAAGTAGAAGTAGAAGTAGAAGTAGAAGTAGAAGTAGAAGTAGAAGTAGAAGTAGAAGTAGAAGTAGAAGTAGAAGTAGAAGTAGAAGTAGAAGTAGAAGTAGAAGTAGAAGTAGAAGTAGAAGTAGAAGTAGAAGTAGAAGTAGAAGTAG